CCATGTGGCTGTCTCAATGCTTTGCTGCTTAGAAATTTCTTCCATCAAACATTCTGGTTCACAACTCTTAAATCCCACCTTCAACAATGTCCTAGGGCATGGACACAGTGCAGCCAAGTTCCTTGCCAGGTTATAGCATGGTTGACCTTTTCCCTAGTTTGAAAAAAACTTCTTATTTCAATCTGAGACCTCCTTAGAATGGTCTTTACAGTCCATATTTTCATAAGCATTCTGGTCACCACCATTTAACCAATCTGTAAAACATTCCAAATTTTCCTTGGTATTCTTGCCTTCTAAACTTTCACCAACATCTAGGCTTTTTCTAGCCTGTTCCTCCAAATTCCTCCAGCCTCTCCTCAGCACCCAGTTCTAAAGCTGCTTCTACATTTTGAAGTTATTTGTTATAAGCAACACTCCACGTCTTTAGTACAAATTTTCTGTATTAATCTGTTTCTGTTGCTTATTAAAAAATACTTGCAAGTGGGTGATTATAAGAAAACAAAATTTATTGTTTACAGTTTCAGAGTCTGGGATGTCCAATGTCCAGGGAACACTTTTGGTGAAAGCCTTGATGGTAGCTTTACGGCAACGAAGAAGTCTCATTTGGCAGAAAATGATGGAGCAGAGAGATTAACCTTTCATGTGTCCTCCTTTTAAAGCCCTCAGAACAACACTCATGACCACCATTTTTAATCCATTCACTGTACCATGGTCCTACAATCTTCAAGGCCTCACCTTGCAGTTACCATAATAGGATTTCCCACTCTCTTAACAGTCACAATGGGGATTAAGTTTTGTGGGGATATTCAACCCAAGGCAAATAGTAATTAGGGTTTAACCTATAAGACTAGCAATAAAAGTGGAGAGTAACAGATTTGAGAAATATCCCTGTGATAAATTGATAAAATTTTGTAACCAGTTGTTATTCAGGAGGGAAAGGGAGGAGACTAGAATGATTCCTGTGTTCTTGCTTTAGACAATGATAACACAAGAGGAAGCACAGTCTCATTTAGAGAAAGGTGACCTTGAGGAGCCTTTTAGACAGCCTAGAGGAAGCATGCTGGAACTCAGGGAGTCTTAACAGAGGAAAAGATTTGAAAGTATCTATGTCATTGGATTTCTGTGTTAAATAAGATAACGCCATAGCATGATTAACACAGTGTCTTAAAGTACATGCTCAGTAAATAGTAGCTGTTGTTTCTTGTGGTAGAATGGTGAATGTGGATAGTTGGATTAGTCTAGAATAGGATGGAAGTTTGTCTCCAGTACTGGATCATATGGACAAGGGATTGAGAGAGAAAGAATTCAAGTTATAGGAAAGGAAAGTTAAAATGATAGGCCCTGGGAACTATGCTACATCAGAAATTAAAGGAAAAAAGGCTGCTAGACTACAGGAAAAAAGAGTGGCTATTCATAAATATATCTTGAATGTGATGCATTCTTGCTTCATAAAAATTAGTTATATTGCCAGGTCCACCTCTCACCTTTTAAAAACACACCTGTTTGATTTATATTTGGCTCATTTGTAATTGTTGCCTCAACATAAATGCATTTTATATTTGTGATTATGTACAAATACTATACTTGCTAATCGGTTATATTCTCTTTGCTTCCTCAACTTAACCTTGGAGCCAAACAATAAGAAATTTCAAACTGTGCAATGCCTCTGGCAAAAGATTTTTCTTCATTTCGTCATATGAACTATATGGCCATTGACAAAACCTGAGGCAATTAAACACAGACATGTAAAGGACATCCCCAGATGATAGCAGGACACCTTTATTAGGAAGAAGTGAGGCCAACTGCTCTCTCCTTGCAATGCAAATCTTTGTGATGGCATTGAGGAACTCAGTAGCAGGTAAAATGGATTGTACCTGCCTGGATGGAGGCAGAAATGCTCATGGTGGTGTTGTAAAACAAGCTCCTAAACAGCAAAGAGACACTGAGCTGTCTGCAGGGAAATGAAAAAGAACTGCAAATTAAGCATGGCTTAGTTATTCACTTTTTCATATTAGTGTCTCTGACTCCTGTAAATGCTGTTTAGGGTTTTCACGTGCTCAAAACTGTCATTTAATCTGTAATAATGTCATTACATATTTGAGAGTCATTTTGAAAACTTACTGAAAAGGATCTGACATCCATACCATAGAGTGTATGTCAGGGGACATTGTTGCAGTTTATTTTTCACTGTGAGTTTAATCGAAATCACCAAGTATCTAATTTATCATGAAAAATGAAATTCCAGGAGTTCTTTTTTTTTTTTTTTCTTCTCTGCAGTGTTACTAAACAATCTGGGTTCTGTGAGAAGAAGGAATGGTTCACGTGGAAAATATTTAATTGCCTGCATTCTTATGACAGGAGTGCTCTGAATCTAAAATAACATATAATGAAAAGCAGTGGAGTAATATTGCCAAGAAACCTCTTCTTACAGGTGATTGGCTAATCCCCAAAGGCTTCTATACTCTGTGTATGAGCCACAGTGGAAGAGCACTGGGCTAGTGGTCAATCCTAAAACTAGGCTGTGAAGCCTAGTCCTACAAGAATTTAAAATCCTTCCTTCCATTCTAATTTTTTCTCCCTCTCTTCTTCCCTCCCTTTCTTCCCTGATCACTTCTAAAGTGTTTACTATGTAATAGCAGCATCATGTTAAATACTGAGATGCAATGATAAAACATACTAATGCCTTGAAAGGGACCTAAAGGAAGATTGAGTGGGGGTCTAATTGTATGATTCAAACCCCTTCCAGTTCTGATATTCCATTCTTTTCTTCTGTTCAAATTCTTTTCACACTGTCACTCTTTGATTCCTTAGACGTATTGAATCTTTAATACAAGATTATATAGCTGGGTTGCAAGGGTCATTAATATATTCAATAAATATTTACCGAGCCTTACTCTGTGCCAAGCATTGTGCTAGGGACCATAGTAGAAATAAGGAAGCAAGGAAGGGTTGAGTACTAAGCCAAACCCTGAAGGAGTAAAAGGAGTATGGCAGGCAGGAAAAGGTGTAGACCTGGTGCTTAAGAGGAGAGTGAAGGGCACACGAAGCAATAAATAGTGTGTGCTCTCAGGAATGGAAATTGTTATTTGTGGACTTGACAATTATCGGGCATCCTTGCAGCACAAAGCGTAAAGAGGGGCAGAGTAAGGATAGATGACCTTGAAGTTGATGCAGAGAAGAAGTCATGAAGACCCATACAAAAGATTTGGGGCTTTATCCTGAGGACATGGAGGAGTTTTAAGCAGGTCTGGCATGATTAGATTTGCATTTAGAATAATAATGATTTTTTTAAAAAAATACTTTCTTCTCAGAAAGGAGTTGAGAGAAAGAGGTGTAGATCAGACATTTATAAATTAGTTTCTTCCAAGGAACATAACTTTATGTTTTAGGTGTGAATCTTAGTCTCAGGGGTTTTAAAATTTACTTTTTGTAGTTCACTTAATTTGTATTCTGAATTTGTATTTCCACAGGCTGTAAAATATTACTTAGGCCACTGGTGGGGTTCAGACTCTCACTCAGCTCTGCAGGGTTGTGACATAATCCCCAGGATTTACAAAGTGCCGTATTGTCACAGCATACAGGAATACGGACAACAGTCATGTGTCCATGCAGATATTATAATATCTATGGTTTCCTCTGTATAGTTCCTGTAGCTTCAGAAATAGAGACTGGGACTATTGGCTGAGGCCCTGCAAATTTGTCGAAGTCTTATAGCCCCTTGGCCATTCTTCTGGGTAAATGCTTCCTCCTGAGGACTCTGGGCACCTGGGCTCAGGATATGGACTCCTCCTCCCACTCTTCCCCTCTGTTCAGCTGGAACACTTCAGTCTGAGGCTGTTTTCTTCCTCAGTGTTTCTTCCACTCTGCTTTTTCTAGTACTCTTTTATTCTTCCTACTTGTTAGCAAACATTTTCAATTCTCCTAAGTTTGCAGGTTAGGCTTTTGAAAAACAAAAGCCAGAAAGAACTGAACTCTACTTGGGCTGACTCTACAGCTGAATCCATTCTCCAGGGTGTCAGGGACCTCCCCCGAGGCAGTAAGGTGCAGAGCAGGCAGCCCTCCTGCACTGCTTAAAGTCATGCATGAGGAACACAGAGGAAGAAAAACCCGAACAAAGCAAAGTAACTGTCCTGGTTCCCTCCCTTACTTTCTAGGCTGCTTACAGAGTCTCCACTCTCGATTATCTTAATCATTTCCTTCAGTATCCACTGTGCTGGTCTATTCATATGCTGCTTCAGTTTTCCAGTCTTCTCTTGCTGCCGCCACAAGCTACCCCCAAAAGCCCCTGGACAGTACAAGCGGTCTTCAAAAAGTTCATGGAAATATTTATATTATCTTCTGATTCTATTTTTTCTATGAACTTTTTGAAATACTATCGTACTGCAGAAGCTCACTCAAGCACACATAGAGGACCAGCACTCCCTAAAACTCAGTGCTCACCAAGTCTATTTTTAGTTTCCTCATCACTGAGGGGATTGCACTATGTCATAGCAAAAGTGCTCTCTTATTTTTTAAAAAAATTAGGATTCTTGGGCTCTCTTGATTATTTCCCCACTACCACTGGAAATCCTTCTTCCCTACCTGTTCTGTTTGTCACTAGCCAGTGCAAAATTCTAAAGAATGTAAATCTCCACTTTCACACCTTCATTTGGCAAAAAGATGTGCTCAGTATCGGGATGGGAGCCTGTATGGGAACTCCAAAAACTGTGCGGTAGAAAGTTCTATTGCATTATCGCTGCTGTAGTTCAGCTATTTTATCAACTAAATAGGCCTATGCGCTTACCTGAAACCTAGCTATGAAATGGTTTTCTATGGAGAAATGAGTCTGTGTAACCACATTCCAAATTCCTTACTCAAGTCCAGGACTGCCTATATTTAAGATTCTCTGAACAACTCTATGGATTTAATAATGATCTTACCTATGTATGTACCTTGCCATGAATAAGAAATAGATTATTTTTGCAGTTACTGAATATGCTTTCTTCATTTTCCTTTATCAGGAGAGTGTCCAATAAGTCAATCTACTTCACAGTTTAAATTGGAGCATTACCTTTTAAGACCAAGATACGAAGATCCACAAAAGAGTTTTTGCATCCTTTGGTTCAGTTATCCCATTTCTAAAAATCTATCCTAAGAATACAATCCCAATATGGAAAAAGCTTTGTTTATCAAGACATTTATTAAAACATGTTTATCAGAATAACAAAGGACTGGTTTAGTAACTCTTTCCCAAAATGGGATAGTAGAGTAATGGTCATGAAAAATATAGCACTTAATGAAATATCATGAGATCACAATGATGTTTAGGAGACAATGATACAGGGGCTTCTGGTCAAGATGGTGGAGTAGACGGTTCCTAGCATTGCTCTTTCCTACAAATCAACTAATTTGCAACTATTAAAAAGCAACAACAGGAGGCCTGAGTGCTGCATCAGAATAGGCAGGAGTTGTACGCCATGGGATCACCAGCCCAGGCCAGTGCTGGCCCCCAGAGAGGCCTGATAAAATAGACTTTAAACCAAAAACCATAAAAAGAGATAAAGAAGGACACTATATAATGATAAAAAGATCTATCCATCAAGAAGACATAACAATTATAAACATATATGCACCCAACATCAGAGCAGCCAGATTTATAAAGCAAACACTATTAGATCTAAAGAATGACATAGACACTAACACCATAATAGCAGGGGACCTGAGCACCTCACTCTCAACATTGGACAGGACATCTAGGCAAAAAATCAATAGAGAAACACAAGATCTAAACAACACTTTAGACCAATTGGACTTGGCAGATATCTACAGAACATTCCATCCAACAACCTCAGAATATTTATTCTTCTCATAAGCACATGGAACATTCTCCAGGATAGACCACATATTAGGTCACAAAATAAGTCTCAATAAATTTTTAAAAAATGGAATTATTCCATGTATTTTTTTAGATCACAATGGATTAAAATTAGAAATCAACAACAAACAAAACTCTGGAAACTATACAAACACATGGAAATTAAACAACATTCTATTTAATGACATATGGGTCCAAGAAGAAATTATACAGGAAATCAAGAAATTTCTTAAACCTAATGAAAATAATGACACATCTTATGAAAACCTGTGGGATACTGCAAAAACAGTATTAAGGGGGAAATTTATCACATTAATTGCTCACTTCAGAAAAATGGAAAGATGGCAAGTAAACAACCTAACACTTCATCTTAAAGAACTAGAAAAAAGAAGAACAATTCACACCCAAAGTTAGTAGATGGAAAGAAATCATTAAGATCAGAGCAAAACTGAATGAAACAGAAACTTGAAAAATGATACAAAAGATCAATGAAACAAAAAGTTGATGTTTTGAAAAGATAAATAAAATCAGCAAACCTTTAGCAAGGCTAACTAAGAGGATACCAGACCCAAATAACAAAAAATAGAAGTGAAAAAGGTGATATTACCATTGATACCTCATAAATACAAGGAATCATTAGAGACTACTATAAATAACTATATGCCAACAAATTTGAAAATCTGAAGGAAATGGATAAATTTCTGGACACATACAACTACCGAAACTGAGCCAAGAAGATATAGGAAATCTGAATAGACCAATAACAATAAAAGAGAGTGAAGCTTTACAGGGCCGGCCCGTGGCTCACTCGGGAGAGTGCGGTGCTGATAACACCAAGGCCCCGGGTTCGGATCCTATATAGGGATGGCCAGTTTGCTCACTGGCTGAGCGTGAAAGAGAGTGAAGCTTTTATCAGAAGGCTCCCAACAAAGAAAAGCCCAGGACTGGATGGGTTCACTGCAGAGTTCTACCAAACCTTCAAAGAGGAATTGATACCTATTCTCTACAGACTATTCAAAAAGATTGAAATAGAGGCTATACACGCTAACTTATTCTATGAGGGAAACATCACCCTGATACCAAAACCAGACAAAGGTACATCAAAAAAAAGAAAACTACAGCCCAAATCTTTGATGAATATATATGCAAAAATCCTCAATAAAATATTAGCTAACCGAGTACAGCAACACCTACACAAAATTATACACCAGGATCAAGTGGGATTCATCCCAGGGAGGCAAGGTTGGTTTGACATGTGCAAATCAATACATGGGATACACCACATCAATAAAAGCAAAGACAGAATTCATGTGATCACCTCTGTATATGCTGAAAAAGCATTTGACAAAATTCAACATAAGTTCATGATAAAGACTCTCTGCAAGTTAGGTATAGATGAAAAGTATCTCAACACAATCAAAGCTATATAAGATAAGCCCACTGCCAATATCATCCTGAATGGGAACAGGAACTAAGAACAGAAACTAGACAAGGATGCCCACTCTCACCACTCCTATTCCACATAGTGTTGGAAGTACTAGCCAGAGCAATCAGAGAAGAGAAGAAAATAAAGGGCATCTAGACTGGAAAAGATGAAGTTAAACTGTCCCTGTTTGTGGATGACATGATCCTCTATATTGAACAGCCTAAAGCTTCTACAAAAAAACTCTTTGAGTTGATAAATGATTTCAGAAAGGTGCAAGATACAAAATCAACACACAAAAGTCAGTAGCATTTCTACACTCCAACAACAAACATGCAGAAAAAGAAATCAAGAAACCTAGCCCATTTACAATAGCCACCAAAAACAAAAACAAAAACAAAAAAACTTAGGAATAAAGTGAACCAGGATGTGAAAAATCTCTATGAAGAGAACTACAAACTACTGTTACGAGAAATTAAAGAGAACACAAGAAGATGGAAAGATACCCCATGCTCTTATATTGGAAGAATTAACATTGTGAAAATGTCCATATTACACAGAGTGATCTACAGATTCAATGCAATCCCCATCAAAATTTCAATGAAAATTTCTCCAAAATGGAAAAAGTATCCAGATATTTATGTGGAATAACAAAAGACAACATATAGCCAAAGCAATCTGGAGCAAAAAAAATAAAAATAAAGCTGGAGGCATAACACTACCTGATTTTAAACTATACTATAAAGCTATAATAACCAGAACAGCATGGTACTGGAATAAAAACAGATACACAGATGGATGGAATAGAATAGAGAACCCAGAAATCAACCCATACCCCTACAGCCATATGTATGATCTTTGACAAAGGCACCAAGTCTACACACTGGGGAAGAGACTGCTTCTTCGGCAAATGGTGCTGGGAAAACTGGATATTAATATGTAGGAGAATGAAACTACACCTGTACCTCTCACCATATACCAAAATTAACTCAAAATGAATTAAAGAATTAAATATACATCCTGAAACAATAAAACTCCTTAAAGAAAACACAGGGGAAACACTTCAGGAATTAGAATGGGTACAGACTTCATAAATACGACCCCCAAAGCACAGGCAACCAAAGGAAAAATAAACAAATGGGATTATATCAAACTAAATGATTCTGCACTGCAAAACAATCAACAGAGGGGAATAATAACCAACAGAGTGGGAGAAAATATTTGCTAAATATACATCTGACAAAGGATTAATATCCAGAATATACAAGGAACTCAAGCAACTTTACAGCAAAAAAATAAATAACCCAATCTAAAAATGGGCAAAGGAGCCAAATAGGCATTTCTCAAAGGAGGATATATGAATGGCCAACAGACACATGAAAAAATGCTCAACATCACTCAGTATTTGGGAAATGAAAATCAAATGCACTTGAGTTACCATTGCACTCCAGTTAGGATGGCTAATGTATTGAAAAGACTGAGAATAATAAATGCTAGTGAGATTGTGGAGAAAAAGGAACTCTCATACACTGCTGGTGGGACTGCACAATGGTTCAGCATTTATGGAAAAAGGTATGAAGGTCCTGCAAAAAATTGCAGATAGTTCTGCCATATGACCCAGCTATTCCACTATTGGGAATATACTTAGAGGAATGTAAATCATCAGCCGAAGTGATACCTGTACTCCTATGTTTATTGCAGCAATATTTACAATAGTCAAGATTGGAACCATCCCAAACGTCCATCATCAGATGAGTGGATAAGGAAACTGTGGTATATCTACACAATGGAATACTACTTTGCTATAAAAAAGAATGAAATACTACCATTCACAACAACATAGATGGACTTAGTGAAAATTATTATTTTTTTTTAAAATTTAATTTTATTTTGCCAATAAACATTGTGGTTGATTATTGTGGCCAATTACCAAAACCTCCCTGTCTCCTCACTCTTCCCCTTCCCTCCCTACAATGTCCTTTCTATTTGCTTGTTATATCAACTTCAAGGAATTATAATTGCTGTGTCTTCTTCCCTCCCACCCCCCGGTTGTTTGTGTATTTATTTATTTATTTTTAGCTCCCACAAATAAGTGAGAACATGTGATATTTCTCTTTCTGTGCCTGACTTGTTTCACTTAATTCTCTCTAGGTCCATCCATGTCATTACAAATGGCAGTATTTCATTCTTTTTTATAGCAGAGTAGTATTCCATTATGTACCACATTTTCCCTATCCACTCATCTGATGATGGACATTTGGGCTGGTTCCAACTCTTAGCTATTGTAGTGAGTGTTGCAATGAACATTGGAGAACAGGTATACCTTCGACTTGATGATTTCCATTGCTCTGGGTATATTCCCAGCAGTGGGATAGCTGGGTCATATGGTAGATCTATCTGCAATTGTTTGAGGAACCTCCATATCATTTTCCATAGAGGCTGCAACATTTTGCAGTTTCACCAACTATGTGTGAGAGTTCCTTTTTCTCTGCAATCTCACCAGCATTTATCATTCTTAGTCTTTTCAATACTTTAGCCATCCTAACTGGAGTGAAATGGCATCCCAAAGTGCATTTGATTTGCATTTCTCAAATGCTGAGTGATGTTGAGCATTTTTTCATATGTCTGTTGGCCTTTCGTATATCTTCCTTTGAGAAATGCCTATCTAGCTCTTTTGCCCAAAAATATATAAAATAAAACAAATCAGGCACAGAGAGAAATACCACATGTTTTCACTTATTTGTGGGAGCTAAAAATACATAAATAAATATACAAACAAATAAATGGAGGGGGAGTAGAAGACACAACAGTCAACAATTCCTTGAACTTGTTAAGACAGGTGATCATATATGGTGTAGTAAACATCATCTTATACATATGATGTATAAGAAGAATGGATAAAGGGACACAAAAATCAACTACG